CTGTGGTAGGCCTGAATAATACCCTTAAGAAAACCAATCATTGAATAACTGCTACTATTTCGTCGCGAGACGGTGCATATTTTACTATTCCTCAAATAACCAGTTTTATTCCAACTAATCAAATTAACCGACAATTAATTGAAATACCGAAAAATATTATATTAGCGGACCCAGAATTCCAACTAGCTGAAACAGATATTTTAATAGGCACAGTGCTGTTATATTCTTTATTATGCATACGTCAGATAAAGGAAAAAATTAAAAACCAAAAACTTCAAACGACGGCATCTGTACTACAAAAAACACGCCTGGGTTGGATAATTGCCGGAGAAATTTACCAAATTCACAACCCCAACAGTTTAGTCATTTGTCATCTCTCATCATATTCTAATGATAACGTACAATTAGACGGCCTAATTGAAAGATTTTGGAAATTAGAAGAAGAGGTCACGTTACCATTTTGGACCCCACCAGAAAAGCAGTGCTAGCAACATTTTATAAACAACGTTAATTGGGATCCTGTTAATAGTAAATACATTGTAAAATTACCCTTCAATGATCGCATTTCAGAGCTAGGTGAATCCTACAACACAGCTTGAGCGAAAACTTAACCGAAACAATAAATTAAAACAAGAATATTCAAGGTTTTTTAACAATATAAACTTCGCGAATCTATGACCGAACAGGTTGATGATAATGAAAAAGCTATTATTTACCACACTACACCGTGATCAAGGCATCCAGTACTTCTATGAAATTGAGTGTAGTATTTGATGGTTCGGCTAAAACCATAGCTGAAGTGTCTCTAAAAGACACACTTACAGCAGAACCTATAACTTAAGATAACCTTATATCTATTATGCTAAGAATGCGCACGCACCGTTATCTACTTTCCGCAGACGTCGAAAAGATGGTTTTTTTTAAATATCGATCCATCTAGAACATCGAAAGTATCAAAAAATATTCTAGCAATAAACCGAAACCGAAACAAGAATAACATTCAAAATAAATACCGTCACCTTTGGAAAGACATCGTCATCCTTTCTGACTGTTCGCACTCTTCATCAGCTGGCAACAGACAAAGCAGAGGCATTTCCGAGGGCAGCTAATATAATAAAAACCGATTTTTATATTGAGGATTTGCTAACTGGAGCAGATACCATTGACGAGACCCTTCAATTACGCAACGATTTAATTCAAATATTGCAAAGAGGAGGTTTTAATCTACGCCAATGGTGTTGTAATAATAAAAGAGTTTTGGAATTGATCAAAGCTTAATAATCCAATAATAAAATATCACTTGAAATCGACTCTGCAATTAAAAAAAAACCTTAAGTGTTCTATGGGATACCGATAAGGACTGTATTATTTATACCTTTCAGATAACCGAAGCTAAAGCAAAAATCACCAAGAGAGTTCTTCTATAGGAATTAGCAAGATTTTTTGATCCACTTGGACTTTTACGTCCAGTAATTGTTTACGCAAAACTAATTATGCAACGACTGCGGCAACATCGGCTTGACTGGGACGAAACGGTAGAAATACATACATAGTGGATGAAATTCCGAAATCGTCTTTGTGATATCAAGGAATTTTCTATTCCAAGATATCTACTTATAGAAAATTGTAGAATATCCAACTTCACGAGTTTTGCGATGCCAGTGAAAGAGTTTATGGCGCATGTCTGTACCTTAAATCCATCGATAACTTAAAACCTTAAAACACATCTTGTACGTTCTAAATTGAGAATTTCTCCGTTAAAAGTGAATTCTTTACCAAGACTAGAACTCTGTTCTGCATTACTATTATCAACCCTTTGTAAGACAACAACATTAAAATTAAAAATTGACAGCATTCATCATTGGGCGGACTCCACCATTACTTTACACTGGATATACCTAATGCATTAAAAACATTCGTGGCAAATCGTGTTTCATAAATCCAAGAACTGATAATGCAAGATTAGTGAAGATATGTACTATCAGACGAGAATCCTGCGGATATTTTATTTAGAGGACAATTACCTGACGAAATAATAAAAAATTACAGTTGAAAATCTGGACCATTATGGTTAAGTGATATAGAAGAAAACTGGCCAATAAATAACTTGACATCTATTAATGAAATACCAGAAATTCGTTATAAAGTTGTTTTAATATCAACCTGCACCAATAATTTCAGAACAAAAACAAAATTAAAACTTATATTGCCAACTTTATTTTCCTCGCGACTAAAGCGATCCACATAGTGCTGGTTATTGACCTCACCACCGAAGCCTTTATTGCAACCCTAAGAAGATTTATTGCCGGAAGAGGTAGATGCAACCATATTTACTGCAACAATGCGGCCAACTTCGTAAGTACAATAAAGGAGTGCGAGAACATACTTAAATTGATAAAATCGCAAAAATATCGTGATAAAATATAACGATTTTTAACCAATGAAGGAATAGCATTTTATTCCACCGAAAGCTCCTCACCTCAGTGGGTTTTGGGAGGCTACCGTTCGCTCCTTTAAACATCATTTTAAAAGAACCGTTGGTAAAACACTTTTCGCCTTCGAGGTATTAAATACCTACATCATAGAAATCGAAGCGATACTAAATTCCCGACCGTTAACTCCCATTTCTTCTGATTTCAACTATTTCCTAACCCTAACTCCTAATCATTTCCTTATCGATGAATCGACAGCCAATTTACCAGATCTGAACTTTAATTCTATTCCGTTAAATCGACTATCCATCTGGCAACATGTTCAAAAATTTCAACAACACTTTTGGAAGCGATGGTCGAAAGAATATATTAACGAGCTAATGATGCGGAATCGATGGTCCCAAGGTAACCATAACACCCCGATTGGCACAGTAGTGATCCTGAGGGACGATAACCTACTTTCATTACAATGGACTTTACACGCATCCTGACGACGATGGAATTATTCGTGTTGTTAACGTGAAAACGGCGTCGGGAGTTTATAAACGAAATGTAAGGCAATTAGCCCCTATCTTTTATCATTAGTATAAGTGAAATTAAGTGATGTTTACTGTAGTGAACCGACTATAAACGAAACCCAACTCCAAATTTAGACATTGTGTTAAATTGTAATAAACTCTTTGAACCGATAGTGTTCTAAGATGTTTGAACTTTTTTCCTTATTGTGTTTTTTCTTGAACGTGACCGTTTAACGCCGGAAGTATGTTCCGGTTCATCAATTACATGTACAACTTTTTACTATTTAGAAAATTTAAACTGTTCCTGCTGTGCCTTTAGGCCTTTAGTATTCAGGCTGTTTTCTTGATTTATTACCTATAGCTTTACGACAATTGGCCTTCAATATTCGAGGAACACTGTAACGAATTGAATTAGTTTAAGATTGAATTGTTGTATATAGCTCCAGAACCGATCCTTTCCCTTTACTTAGAATTTCACAATGCCTATCAGTTTCCAATTCCTTGTCTCAACCAATAGTAGTAACCACCCCACTTAGCCCTTGTATATAGTTCAGTTTTTAAATACCTATACATGTATTACATTAAAGTCAATTTTGATTCATTCCTTAAAGCAGTCAATTTAAATTTTTTTCTTATACTAATCAATTACAGATTAAGAGCCAAACACAACTAATTTTGTTAATACATACAACCAATAAACTGATAAACCTAGTTTGAGTTCTTATCAAATCTATCTAACTAACTATGCAAAGCTGGGACATTACATTGCTTAAAACGACATTAATCAATATTTAAAAAACGTTGGGCTCATTACAAAGTCCAAAACTCATTCCATTTTACAGTTGAACTATCAGATTGCCCCTGACTCTCACTTGCTGCGAAGATGATAAATAAGAATCGTTTTCGCCTCATTGGTTCAGAAATACCTTTTGAATCCTTTGCCATCGGTATCTGATAATATCTACTACTCAAGTCCAATAGTCCAATGTACTATAATACCTACTGTTTTCTTCGCAGTTGGTCCAGTTAATCGTTGATGTTGAGCAACGGATAGTGCTGCTTTACGATGGTTTTATTCAAGGTGCAATATCTCTATTTATCTTCCGCACTAATAGCGAGCGACTGCAGTAGGTGAATCCGTTTCTTTCACAATACCAGCATCCTTCAATTCATTCAATATTTCGCGTTCCTGTTGTTCCTTAAAAGATATCCCGTAAAGCCAGTAAAATATTGGAACATCTGCCTTTATCTGAATGTCCACTTCAATCTAATTTCTACATCCAATTTCCTTGATGTTTCGTGCAACTAAATCACGCTATTCGTTTAGTAGATACACCAGTTTTATCTTGTTTTTCTTTCCAATGCCTGTATCTACATCTTTTGCCCATTTTCGAAAATGGTCTTTGAAAAATATTATAATGGTGTTTGTACACTTTAGGATATGGATGGAAAAATTTTGTAGGGGCGGCCAAAACTTGAATAACCTAGAAAACTTTTGTTTGACTCTCCAATTGTAAGTTACGGTTGTTATTACTTTTCTTATCTAAAAATATCGTGTAGCATATGTTTTGGCTAGTATAGATATTAGGTACTTGGTTATGCTATAATATTTTTAGTCATGCCGGCACTATTTTGACCGTGATATGAATTCGAAAAATCGATAAAAAAAACACGGTTTTCGCATTTTTGACGGTGACGTACTGAAAATATCGCTTCTGTGGAAGATCAAGAATATAGAAAACTACAAAGCACACGTTAAAAAACTCTTCGGTGTTATACTTTGCGGCTTGAAAATACAAAGAAAATAATTTTTCCGGAATTTCCAGGTTTACCCTGTTCATTACACTTTGGAGTTTTCTATTTGATAGTAGAAAAAAGAGTATATTGCATCAAAAAATTGACTTAAATTTTCGTTCTCTATCACATGTTGAAGTGTATGTGATGATTTCTAGTTAATTTAGTGTCTTATAATACAAATATTGCAGGCATTAAAAAATATTCGTATGCGCTACTATTCGTTTATTTTAACTAAAGTGGTGACAATTTTCAGGTGAGAAAATGAAATTAGTTATTCGATCAGATGAATATCTTGACAAACTAGTTGAGTATTGCAACATTAAGATATTCGCTATTGCTAATGTGACCGAAACTAGTCAAACTTGGGCTGATGAAGATGATTTCCAAGTGATCAAACCTAAAATTAAAATAAAGGTAAAATAATGATAATGCTAACCAAATTAACCCTATCAGCAGCGTAGCTTAACCGACCGCAGGCTTCGGCTGACATTTATAATTTTTGTTGTACCGCAGGAAATGCGAAAAATTTGCTGCAGGCACACCTGACACGTGCATATAATCGTTCATTATAGTAATAATAATACAATTCATTATTTGTGCATTCAATGATTCACTATGTTAAAACAATAGACAACTTACTCTCACTATAGTTTCAGTATATATATTAACGCCATATAAACCTGACTGAGCTAAATGAGTCATAAATCGATATTATTTTTTTTTAATAAGTTTCTGGCCTGAATAGCAGTCCTTTGCCTGTTAATCCCAGAACTGTTAGACTGAATAAATGTTATTGATTCGTACAATTTTTTTCTCGGAAGGGTGTTTTTTTTTTCGATGCTTCCTATGGTTGTCTTGTTACGCCTTTATAGAATATAGTTAATTTGGTTTAGCTTCCGTTACTTACAGCAGGAAAAGTGACTCATCAGTCTCCATAAACCCTTCAATTCTGTATTGATTGTTAAATTAATAAAAATGTATATCAACAAATTTATTGCAAGCATGAATACGATTTCTGGCCAATAGTTAAATCATAAACATAAATATTCCTATCTATCATACATAAATAAAAATGTACACTACAAATGTAACCATGTAACCACAATGTACCGTCAAAAGTTTGACGTTTATTTACAAATGCCCGATTTGTATGCCTATAGTCAACTTTTTCAGGATAGAGTTTAACTCTAATGATCAAACTTTCTTTTTTCATAGTTCCACAATATACATACCTAGGTATCTTCTCTTTTCGCCATTTGGAAATATGTTTTTACTCTTATCTGTGAGTAACACGCACTTCCAGAAATTAAAATTTCTATTTCTGTATTTTTAAAAAAAATCCATCAGATATTCACTTGCTATGGAAATAAAACGTTTATATATTTACAGTGCGTCGTGTTCTCTCAAGACACATTTCTTTTAATATTTTCCAAACTTACAACTGTATTTGTTCATAATGGTAGCTGCTATGTTGCTAAAACTCTTTTTTGGAATTCTTATATATTTCTTTTAACAAAATGTTTGTTGGTAACATTTTTGGTGTTTTTTCATTTTTTCTGTTATTATTCACAATTTTTGTAATTTCATTGTGTTTTCTGTTTATTTCTTACACTTTAAATGTGTGATTTTTAAAAAGTATAGAAAGTAATAACAAAAATTAAAACATAAACTCAGCGCAAAGATGATAAAATTTGCTTTTTTTTAACACATATTTAACCAGAGGTTAAATTAGGTTACGCTTCCGTTTGTTTTTGTTTAAAATGATCGATTATTGATTTTTACCCCTTGCGTCTCCACTTCAACCTCTAATCCTAGATGACTCATATAAAAAAAAATTTTTGAATCGGTAAGAAACAACCAACTGTAATAATACATTACAATATTAGGAGTATAGGGGATTTGGCTATAAATATTGTGGTGCTAACTTGCAATATAACTTACCTATAATACAAATGACATAGCTAGGTTTTTTTACGCAATAATGCGAACGCCCTACTAGGTACGAAATCCATAGAATTCGATTTTTATTTTATTGTTGTTTTTGTTACAATGAGATGTTTTATTCTTTTCTTTTATAATAAATACTGTAAAAACGTACCTGAATGATTTACAGAGTGTTTTTATAAATAGGTCCCATCTTCAGTTCCCATAAGGACCCCAACAGTAATAACCTTGAGGTTTGTAAATCCTTTGAAGAAAACACTAACTAATTGCCAATTTAATATTTCTGGTCCTTCAATAATTCGAAGTCAAGTCATGATGCATCCTGATGTAAAACCTGGAGCTAAAGTGAAAGTAACAACTGAAATTATGTTAACTTCTGTAGGCGACAAGAAGCTTGTTGCAACATTTAGTTCTAAGGAACTGCTTGATATTACCGGTTCGGCGAAAATTGAAGTTTTTGATGACAATGAAGAATAAAATTGCTTGTATTTATATATATACGCCCGCTTAGAGTTGCTTTTTAAAGTTAAGTTTAGAAAATAATTTTCCGATGCGTGTTGAAGAAATAAGAGGATTTTTAATTCCTAGAAGAAGGAATGGGTTGAAATGCTGAAAAATAAAGATACATCAATCACGAAAAAGCTTACGTTTTTTATTAAATTTAATTTTTATCTCAAAAAAATATGAATATAAGTATAAAAAAATCTCAATTTCATCTTATTTCTTTAACGACAGCATTACTTTTCAAATATGTAGTATTACTACACAAAATAAATTAAATGGGCAAAAGTGAACAGTACCGGTTACACTACAGTTACTACAGTTATTAATTCGTAATTTACATTTTTTATACGTAGAAAGGGAATATGTTTAACCGCTTTAAGTATTCGGCGTTATTAGTTTATATATTACATATGAATGCTATATTACATATGAATGCTTATTGCAGAATAATTTAAAATACAATATTATATAACTATTTTTTATTATAAACTGTGTATTATAAACATGTCATGTAAAAAATATGAAAACTATGTAGTTGTCATAGAACAAAAACATATTTGTATTATGTTACACCTTTCCTGTAAATTTATAGTATTTTTTATAATTTCCATGAACAACTTTGAATAACTCTGCTGATGAAGGACTTAAAATTCGTAGACAATAGGATATGGCATGATGATCACAAAGTGGCATCAAATTGTAGAGGCAATTATTTAAATGAAACTAAAAAAAGGCGATAAGTGTTGTTTTCTTTACCTCTTAAATATTAAAAAAAATAGTTTAAAGCAAATGTATCAATAATGCAATCACAAATATAATAAATATTAACTTACATTAACGGTAATCATTAACTGCTTTATTACAATATACATACATTATATATTTTAGTAAACTTACTTTTACGTCAGGAAGTAATGTAACCCGTTCATATTCGTTTAATATATCTGCAATTAAATAGGGAGAAATTCGTGCAATGTATTTTCCATTGGAGGCCAACTTGAATGTTATTCTTTCTAACTTAAGAGCACAATTTGAAAGTTTGACAGCTTCAGTGGTGCTGTTTGGTAATTCAACATTACTTTTTAAACATAACTTGCTAAGTAAAATCCTATACAATTTTAAAAAAGAAGCGAGTCTATCCATGATGAGAACTTTGCGAAATTTCAAGAGACATTCTAAAACTGTGGAATTTAAATTGAAAACTTCCGTAAAATCAGTATCACTTTTAGCGATAAAAACTGAAACTGTTACGAAAATGTAATCCATGAGAGAACTAGATATATGAAACTGTAATAATAATATTCGTTAGTTTATTTTAACATAAATTCCATTAAAATACTTACTTGGACCGACTTAATCAAATTCAGCTCCAGTTCAATAAGTGAATTTAGGATAAAATCGCCATTTTGACTAATCGTTACGTACGCTAACAAAAATTTAAAAAGATTCTCCAAAACGTTTTGCCATGTTTCGGTTTTTGTAGGATTAAAATTGCAATTTAAAACTGAACTACATTTTTTAAGTAATAAATAAACACCTTTTGTTTCATTTTTGTGAATTTCATCAGTCTGTAAAAAATCATATAAAGTGAAACTCATTTACAGCAACGTATGTCTAGATTCTAGATAATGAAACCGTTGGTCGGACGTGGGAAGAAGGGGTGCGGCAAAGATTGACAATAGTAATATTGTGTAGATGAGGGGACTGTCGGCTGGAAGGGGTAGAGACGACCTTGCCTGAAAACTAAGTACAAAAATTTTTTGCTATGCCAGATTAGGTTAGCTTACGTTAGTTTCTTTTCCAAAGTTTCGATTTTTCACTTCTCCTCCCTACCCCCTCAACCTACTTTGTTATTCTCTAGACCGGCAGTCTCCTCATTTATGCAATTGCCATTTCAACATTTGTTTGTCATCACCTGCCTCTCCCGCCCTCCGACCGACGCGACAGTCCTATCATCCAAATATTTACAACTTTACTACTAAATGTTTTCAAGAATTTCAAAGTAAATATTTTAACGAATACAAGAATAATAATAATAATAATTGATGTTTTGCTTATGTTACTTAATATACTTACGATAATTTGTAATAATTCATGAGAAGCTTCTGAGAATTCCTCATTTGACATATGTTCAAAGAGTAAAATAATCAGCTTCGAATATTCTTCCCATTCACTTTCATGAATATCAATAGATTTGCAAAAATCCCATGTCTTGGTTGCAATACTAGTGTCAACATTTATTTTATTTTTATAATGAAAAATTGTTATAAATAATTTAACACATTCTTGTACGTTTGCTCTTTCTCTTGCCACCTATTAAATTAGGTAAATAATTTGAATTTAATATCGTATAAAATAGCTCTACAAATTTAAGCGAATAATAAAAATTTATACTAACACATATGTTATTAAGACAATCTTCCAACTTTAATATAAGTTGTGGCAGAATTGTTTCATCTTCTTTATCTAATGCATGCTTCAAAACTAAATTGTAACATTCAATAAAATGCGGTTGCGAAAATAAATCTACCTCCTCTAAGAGTTTAGCACAACCAAGTAACATTTGTAATTGCAAAGTATAAATTTCATTTTTCCCTTCTTGTGATATTTTCAACTTTTTGAACTGGAAAAAAAAACAATCAGTACTGTTTTTAACAAAGAATTATATATTTTTTACCTTATTTATCTGTTTAATAGTAACTATTGCAAGTTGTAAATATTTTGGTTCTCTTATATTTGGCAATAAAAAATTTTTAATACCTTCTACTAATTTATATTCTTTTTTCACTTCTAATAAATTGCTACCATTATACTTTGTAAGTATATTAATACACAGAAGAGCAAAAGCCTCTTCATAATTGTTAAAACATTTTAATATAGTTTGCAAAATAAAATCCATGTTTGGTATTCTATCAAAAAGAATTTTTTCATTTTTTAGAAAACCTACAATAGTGAATAAGACGAAATCATTAAAACAAATTCAGTGTATTTCTTACCAATAATAATCCTCTCGCAGTTTTCACTTACAGCAGACTGAAGAAGTTTCAAATCTAACAGAATTATTATAAAATAGAGAAAAAGAGCAGTTTCAACTTCTTGTGACAAAAACAGGACCGGTAATTTTCCAAATATTTCTAAATATTCGTAAATTTTCTTTTCATTAAAATCATCTTTAGTATCCGTATCTTTTAGATTTGCTGTTGTAATAAAATTACTTAAAACAACATCGAACTCATCTGCAGTTGTATTGCCATTAGAAAGAATAATATCACAAGGAATATTACAAAAAAAGGTGTATGTTCTCATTTGTTTTACAGCTGATTCACCATGTTTTCTCTTTCCTTTAAATAAGCCACTTATTTTTGATAGATTTGTATAAAGTATGGCTGAAATTAAAGCTTCACAATTTGAAATTTCAGCATTTCTTTTAAGAAATATATTATCACTTTTATGGAATTGTTTAAAAATAATTTCAGATAATTGCAATAAAGAAGTTTTATCTAATCTTGGACCAATGTGTTTTAATGCAAAATTATCACACAATAAATCTTCCCAAGTACTATCGATGTTCTTGTTAATAATTCTTATAACGCTCGTTTCAACTTCTTCATAAAATTCCTTTTCAAAAATAAATAAGGCCTTTAATTTTTGAACTAACAGTTTATGCTGATGTAAAACCTGGAGCTAAAGTGAAAGTAACAACTGAAATTATGTTAACTTCTGTAGGCGACAAGAAGCTTGTTGCAACATTTAGTTCTAAGGAACTGCTTGATATTACCGGTTCGGCGAAAATTGAAGTTTTTGATGACAATGAAGAATAAAATTGCTTGTATTTATATATATACGCCCGCTTAGAGTTGCTTTTTAAAGTTAAGTTTAGAAAATAATTTTCCGATGCGTGTTGAAGAAATAAGAGGATTTTTAATTCCTAGAAGAAGGAATGGGTTGAAATGCTGAAAAATAAAGATACATCAATCACGAAAAAGCTTACGTTTTTTATTAAATTTAATTTTTATCTCAAAAAAATATGAATATAAGTATAAAAAAATCTCAATTTCATCTTATTTCTTTAACGACAGCATTACTTTTCAAATATGTAGTATTACTACACAAAATAAATTAAATGGGCAAAAGTGAACAGTACCGGTTACACTACAGTTACTACAGTTATTAATTCGTAATTTACATTTTTTATACGTAGAAAGGGAATATGTTTAACCGCTTTAAGTATTCGGCGTTATTAGTTTAT